TCAGGGACCTATTTACCTAGAGTCAGACGCGCTGAACACTAGGCCAACCTGGCTGGCAACTCATTAATTAATCACCAAATCGTGCTCAAAAATGCTGGAGATTAACCTTAAAGACGCCGACATCCTCGAAGCCGGCATAAATGTATCTTATCTTTTATGAGAAAATCGACCTTAAAGTGATGGAATTTCAGTGCACCATCTCTCCCCATATGACAAGTAACATGGAAAGCAGGAAAGCCCGAGTGCAAGTACATCATAATACTGCCCAGTGGCGTGGCGTGCTTTGCGATTTATCGATTGACCTGCCATTTAAACCTATGGGAAAAGATCGATAGACAGGGTGTTTGCAGAAAACACCTTAATAATCGACTCTTTACCACAGCTTCAAATAGGAATGTACCGATAATCGATCATTCTCGCCTCGCCACTGATACTGCCGTGCCAAGGAAAAACGCCGCGTGAGCATTCGAATGTTGCCAAATTACCTCTCAGAAAATATTTATTTTTGAAGAGAGCTATAAATATTTTTCATTTATTAAAATTTTCAGACACTTTCGACCAACACACGAGCAAAACATTCTTTAAAATCGGATTTTTGTTTAAATTTGTCCCGACATCCCGTGATTTGTGGAGGGAATTTTGGCAACGCCTGAAGAGTACTGCAGAGTACTGTTCTGCTAAGGGAGAACGCTGAATGAACATTCGAGGATTGCCAAATTTCCTCTGATAAAACATGTATTTTTGACGACATTCACGCATTTTTTTTTTTTTTTTTTAAATTTTTATATATTTTACATTAAATTGCGTACAAAATTGTCAGAACATTTTGGGGAAAAAATATTCAAAATTTTACCGGTAAATTCGGTCTGTAACTGAGGAAACTTGGCAACTTTTGAAGGCTCATACGATGTTCTTCCTTAGCACGGCAAAACACGCCTCTGTTTTTCAAATTAGCAGCACGTCGCGTCATAACGTCAATCCAAAATGTACATAGGAAGAAGCAATAACAAGGCGCTACGCTGTGGGGGCCCTACAATAACAAAACAGGTAACCTTTGTATTAGTATTAGTAATCGATGGAACGGTAGCGTTACGTGGTTACGTATGCAGCAGGTGGTCCAGCCTCCTGAGACAAAGCATTTTAAAGAGGCCTCGCATTGACTATATCTCGTCACTTGCCAAAGTATCACAAGCGCCATGCGACGTTTCAAAATTTCTACCACCATTTTATTTCTTTTTACGGAGACATTGTTCAACGAAGCTGCCTGAAAATTTCACTGAATTTTCTTCGCGCTGCCGATAAAATTCAGTGAAATTTTGAAATAGATTCAACCAACAATTCTTTGTAAAAAAATAAAATGGCGGCGGAAATTTTGAAACATCGCATACTCGTGCATGGCCGGATTCATCTACTTGCCGCCCATGGGCCGCCTGTATTTTGCCGCCCTCTTCTCATCCATTTTGAAATATCAATAAAAACCATCAAGTGAACGTGCCGGAGGGAGAAGGGTGCATAAGACGCGTTCACTCGTGTTGGACACATTTTTTGCGAAAGCCCTGTCAACACTACTAGCAAAAGTTCACGGAACTTCGCGGAAAGTTCAGTTCCGTAAACCTATCTCTGTGGGGACAAGGCCTTTCATTTGTAAGAAATGAACTAAAAAATTAAGAAAGAACAAACATAAATGTGGTTTAATAATTTTAACTTCCGCCGCCGTGCCGCGCTGACCACACTGTGTTTGGCGCAATGCGTGAAGTATTCATGTAAACTTGTAGGCACTGTGAGTTTCACGCCGCGCCGACCGGGCGACCGCTGCGCTGTTGACCGTACTGTGTTTGACGCAATGCGTGAAGTATTCATGCAGTCTCGTAGGCGCTAATATGTGTTACATGCCGACCGCCGCGCCGTGTCGAGGGCTTCTCCTTTTCATCTCTAGTCCTCGTCATCATTTCTCGCTGCGCCGCGCCGCTCCAGGCCAAATTACGCGTTTGGTTTCTCTCTTAACTCAACTAATTAAAGGTGCGCAGTCTTTTGTATCACCGAAAAACTACAAAATTAGAAATTAATGAACTCTCAGGAAATGAGAGATTTTGTCACCTTTTCTTGTTTGTAATTTTTTTCTGAATCCGATTTTTTGTGCCTGCATTTAAAAAAATTGCAAAATTTGCCGCCCCCTAATTTTGCCGCAATGGGCCGCGGCCCATGTGGCCACCCCCTTAATCCGGCCCTGTAACACGAGTAACTCGTGATACTCTAGTCGGAAGGTGACGAGAGACGAGAGACGAGGTACGAAAATGAGAATTTGTTTTTGCATGTGGCTGAAATTTGACGAATTTCGGGTTTATTAAGTCAAAGAGAAAACAATAATTATTAAAAAAAAATATAGACAATCATTGTCCGTGAAACTATGAAAAAATGTAGCCCGATGACAGGGCTCCAAATTTTTTTGGCCTACACATTATTTGGACTGCGTTTTGCAATTTAGAACTATAAATTCTAGCTCATCTGAAAAAACAGTTGTGTGCACAGGGAAATTAATGGCACATACGTTTTTTTTTAAACAGGGCCAGTATTTATAGCTCCAAATTGCAAAATGTAGTCCATTTTATAAAAGAATATTACCAGACTTGTTCTAAAAAAATTCTTCAGAAATATTCTGGATAAGATAATAGGGAATTGCGCGATATTTTGTTCAATAACGATGATAAGGCACACTCTTTCAGGAAGTAAAATGTGTCAAACGAAGTGCCGCAAGCAATTATTACTGCTCCTGAGTTGCAGGCGTTGCCTAAATCAAGTTTCGAAGGCGAACTAATCTGAATGCAGCAAGCTGTAAGTACCCGCCTGGTTGGGCGTATACCAAATACCCACGAATGTATTAAAGCGACACGATGAACTGATATATTAAATGGAATGTGTGTCATTTTACTGCGACAAGATTAACATACACGCGCAAACCAGAAGGATACGTTGTTTCAATCAGTTTTGATCACTTATTTGCATAGGGAAACTGATGGCAAATACGTTGTTTTTAAAATGAGCCAGATAGGTATCACGATTCCTAATTGCAAAAAGTCAAAATGAACATTTATGTGAGAAAATTTCACGAAATTGCAAATCATTGTTAAAAATCGCAATTCAGCGATTTTTCAGGGGCTCTGTATGCGCAACCTGCAAAAATTTAACCAAGAATTTGATAAGGAACTTTGAAATTCGACGCATGATATTTTCTTTTCTAATTTCAAAGTAAAGAGTTTACTGTATCTGTGCATATTGTGGCATTCCGAGTCCACTGCAGAATTATTTGAAAAAATTCCTCAAACTTCATTATGAAATTCCTACTCCAATTTGTAATGTCCCGTGGAATATTAAATCTCTCTGTGGGGATTATTTAGGGGGCGGGGCATAAAACGTTATGATGATAAAGGAGAATCCACCCAATTAAGAATAGCATCCTAACAATTTTTTATCGTTGTCTCACCTATTTTCTTTGTGACTAATTCTTTCCCCTTTCTTTTCACCTCGTCACGGGCCACTGCAGTAAGTCCCCAAAGACCAACCACTCTAAGATTCAGCTGAAATAACATTTCCGACTGTAGATAAGCCCCAAATGTCGAATACCCGCGCGAACCATAAAAGTAAACCTTGGACATTTTTCAAGTTCCATGAGTGGAGAGAGTTGGGCAATCATTTCTACTAGACGCGAGGGTAAAAATACTAACGACCGAACGCAACGTGACAATGTAAGCGTGCATGAAATGCCTGAGAATGGGAATACCGTGAAAAGGCAGTGAACGCCTGAAATCTAAGCAACCCGCAGGACAAACACCAATCACAGCGTCGCATCCAGTGGACGCCGATTTCGACACAGGCCGGCCGGCGCCCGGCGCGCTGTGCAAAGCCGACAGCAAACGCTTATGGGAAGAGCGGCGGAAAGACCATATCTTGGGTACGCTCTTGCTCTTTTATGAGCGGGAGAGGAGAGTATGGGTGAGAGAGAGCGGGGGGGGGGGGGACGCAACTCCTTCAATTTTGAACAAAATATTTCTCTGTCACTATCATTTTGAAGGCAATGCAGGCAATGTAGGATCGCTATTTATTTAAAGGCACGGTCGTCAACTTGCTCTTTCTCACAGGCTCACATAACTCACACGCGGCCAGCCAAATCACACGTGCTTAAAGTTTATTTAGAGAGGCTGCTACTCTTTAGCAACTTTAGTTTGGTTTAAAAAATGACGAAACTTAAAAGGATGACATTTTAAGCCTACTTGTTGCGAATAAAATAGTTAAAACGTTTATATAAACGTATTTATTGTTTATTGCACGAATTGCACGTGGGAGAAAAAGAAGCAAGGGCGGCTTTAACGGATGCAAAGGAAGTCTGTTTTTAGCATGCTGCATATTTTCCTATGATTTCTAGTCGAGGTTTAGGGCCTTGCACACGTGACAGACGCGATAAAGTCGAAGTACAAGCGGGAGAGAACGTCCAAATCGTGTGTGTATAAAGTTGCACGCTCCCAGGATTAGCGGTTCAGTTTGACGGAGACTTTTCCCAGGCGCGCACGATTTGAATTTTCGTGCTCAGCCCGCGCAAACTAGAGTCATTCGTGATTGGTGGATGCATCTCTGTGCGCCAAGCGTAGCGTGTTTGAATTGAACGAAGTCATCCTGTTTTAAATAAGTGTTGGATACCGTTAAGTACGGTTTATAATTGTTGCTGCTTGATTAAATTTGGTAATTTCGATAAAGGAGCGCGTATTTACGCTTTATTTAATTAGCTTTATTCATAGTTTCACGCGGACCGGCAGCTGCGCACGTTGCGGATTTTGGACACTCGCAGCGCTGGCGTCTTGAACTCTCGACCCCACTCACTCTCTGAACTCTCAAACCCCTCGACTTTTGCCGGCTGGAATTTTCTTAAATTTAATTTTTTTAAAATTATTTCATTTTATATTTTTGTATTTTTTTTTATACCTCTTTAAGTGCGCTAAAATTTTTTTGACGGTTAATTTCAGTGTAAAAAAGCCCGAACGGAGCCCCAGCTCGCCGGCAGATCTCGAAGCCGAAGCCCGCGCCATCTTCATTTGAACAAAGAACGAAAAACAGTTTGTGAAGCCAAGCGAGCTTGCTTGAAGTGTTAAAGTTGTTGCAGTGTTTAGTGCTGTTTATTTTTAATTTTAGTTATATTTAAAACAAATTTAGCAAAATGTCTAAAGTTAGTTCAGAAGTAGCCGTAGATAAAGTCTCGGAAGTCACAGAGAAGGACGGAAATCACATTACAGCAGAAATCAAAGGAACGAAAAGGCCGGCCGACGTGAGTAACCATGTTTACTTCTATCATCCAGTTACTTAGCCCTAAGTGAATATTTTCTCATCATCTTCAGTCTTTCTGAGGCCTTTTCTGTCGATTTCTCTACTTGTCACTCAATTTTTCGTCAATATGTTTACTTCCGCTAAACCATGTGGGTGCCGGGACCTAAGGCCTATAGAACACGCTATTCCTCGTGTTGTTTATTTCTATCTCCATGTCGCAATTTACCATTGCAATCATCAGTAATTGCCAATTGCACACAATTGTGTAACCCACATTACATCCTAGCTCAGTTTCTTCTCGAATTTCCATTTTTTTGCGTCTCCCGCGCTATTTCCTATATCTTGCTAGAAGGCTTCACAATGGCTGCCCTTGAACCCTATCTCTCTCTTTATCCTGGCGGCCCGGGGTCCATGGCTGTTGAGTTAGATTTGGCGATTGTATCTAACTGCTCGCTCAATCGAGCTCTTCTGTGTTATTTTTGAAACCCAAATCCGAACCAAATTGCTTTCCTCCGAATTTGCATTCCAGTCCATTCAATTGTGTTATGGTCAGGCTTGCTGCTTCCATCTCAGGACTTAAGGCCTTTTTCTTCATCTGTTTCAAACTTTGTTGCAATAGTTGTGATGGGCAGATAACATGAAAGTCCTCAGAGCTTGGTAGCCCTGCAACTATTTCTGTTCCATGACAGCACATTCGTAAGAATAGCCACACTCCGACTCCAGAGTAATGGCTGCTGTAGTTGTGTCTTGGGATCATTCTAGTCGTAGGTCCATGGAAATTAATTATGCGCCATGCTTCGAACCTAGCCAGCTGCTCATCTAGGCTCTCTTCAAATTTTGTTTCTGTTGAGTCGCTCCCAAAGTGAAGAAGTTTCATTAATGTTTCTGCCGAAGTTCCTTCCATTGTTGTCAGTTCTGCCTGCATTTTTTCTTATTGCTAACCTGTAACGCTGCAGTATTCTTGAGAAGCCTTGGCCACCAAAAATTATCTTTTACTTGAGTTCAGCCCTTAATAGGCTTTCAAGGGAAGTTATGCTCTTCTTTCCTGTCTCAGTGCTGATATCTGGCAGCCAGTGGTTAAGTACTTAATCATTATTCCCACATGACACTAACCTCCTTTAACAACAGTATTCCTTCATTTTCCAAATTATCCCCGCTTGGGAATTTTTTCCCCTTTTATTTATAGTTACTGGTTCTTTACGAGAGTTGGTGAGGGCTTGGCTTCCAATTCCGATCCATACTGTTAGTTTGGAGCAGCATGGTATTCATCGGAGTTACAGTTAAGATCAAGTTAAATTCATCAGAACTCATACTTGATGAAAATTATTGTCGTCGGTTTTTCGCTGGAAGTTCTTAAATTGTACCTGGATTCCGAGTCCAAAGTGCCTCTGTTCGGTACTTCCAACTCAAATTGTCCAACCATGAGTCAAACAGCCTCATGATTGATGCCATAGTAGTATTTTGCTCTAGAGACGAAGGGTTGACCACTATTACTTAGTTTTATTCTGAACCCTACTTGGAAACTTTCATGATACTGGATTCAACGTAGCTTTACAATATCAAGTTTGTCCTCTCATGAACTTGTCTTTATTTGAACCAATTTTTACTAAATTAAAGGATTAGACTCTAAGAAAATGGGGTATTAACATGATCAACCATTGTCAACCTAGCATTTACTCGTTAGCCCTGCCCCTGGTGAATTTCTGGATCGTTGAAAAATTGATGTACAATCTTGTATTTTCTGATGAACTCGTGCTCTGCTATTAAAAGTAGTTGATATGTTTAAAAATCTGCTAAGACTTGAATTAGGTTTTTCTGACCTATTTTCTCATACTATTTTATTTTTTCTTTTCCTTAATTTTTTTCTCCTGCATGAAATCCGGTCTTGCTGGTTGGTTGCCATTACTGCTCATAGAGATGAAAAGGTTTTAATTTGATCAGGTTTGTGATGTTCCAAGTCCATGAGTTCACTCAAAGTAATAGACAAAAGAAGAATGTTGTGTTGCACTACCAATCGATGACTTGAATCAGTTCAGATCTGGTCTAAACATGGCAATCACCTAGCAGACTGTGCTTAAGTTTTTGCGTTTTGTTTTTCGTTTCTCCTTCCTTATTCTGAGTTTGAAATCATGCCTCCATCCTTGCTGACACATGTCTTAGCTACTAAGCTCTGTCAGAAAGCACGGTATTTAGACTTCTCGAATGCAGGAATTTTCAAAATTAAACTTGGATGGAACATCCTGCACACACTTTCATAATTTTTCTCCTGATCTGAAAAAATTCTTTAAAGAAAGCACTAGGTTTAAGTTGTAGTTTTTCTTAGGTCTGAACAATGTGACGTAATAATCCAGTAAGGAATCTCAGGGCTAAAAGTAGGTTTGATTGTGAAATTGGTTCGCAGGAGTTCTCTTCAGCTCCTGAAATTACATTTCTGTTTGCAAATTTTAGGTTTTGCCCTTCTCTGTCCCAAGACCACTTATTGTCAGTGGTGTTTACTATTAGATTTAGGTGTCCAGCTAATGTTGTTGGAGTCTCAATGTTTCTCTCAAAGCTGTAATGTGTTCCAGTATTGCCCACTATTGTCTATTTAAGCAGTTCTTGGGGAGATAACCCCTTTCTTCTTAATGATTCACTTCGCACCTTAGTTACTCAATCCAATTGAATTTACTCCATCTCTTTGATTAATTTTCTTGATTTGTAAGTTAAAGGTCCTCAATGAAGAGGAATTTTGTTAATTATAATCTCTTCTCTCTTTTTTTTCTTTCTTTTTTTTCATGAAAATTAAAACTATAAATATCTGAAGTTGATGATAAATTATTCACAAGCTTTAGAACTTCTTAGCATGGGTTGATATAGTCCCCTGCTTTCCACAATTGTGCGTGCCAATAAAGTGCTTCTACCTTCAAGGAGTGATTACCTTTTTTTAAAAAAAAGTCTTCAGGATTTTCAGTCGACTGGTGGGAAGAAAATTATTAAATAGTTGCCATGGAAGTTTTTAATGGTAGCTTAATCGAACCCTTAATTCACCTACTTTCCAAAATTTTAAAGGTTTAAACATCCGAGGGCCTTGCACAATTTTGGCAGCGCATAGCTTCACGTCTTGCGGGATTGGGAATACTATCGACCCCTGCAGCTGTATTTCTGTGTTCTGTTATCTCCTCTCCATGCTCTGAATCACCTGAATTGCATTCTTATCTTTCGCATGCTAATGAAGAAAACAAATATCCGAAATGGACCACTAGACAAGGTACGAATTTAAGCAATCTGATACATGTTTCTTAACCAGAATTTCACGTAAAACACGATTCGCGCAACGAAAATTACTGAAACTAACTCCTAAAGAAGATATTATCGTTTTTATTTCACATTGGTTACGAGGAATTTGAACTGCCCGCTCTCAAGAAACTCAAAGCTCTACGTGAGTCAAATCGCTCACTACAACGGTTTCAGAAAGCTTCTCAATCGAGCAATGTTCATATCCCACCATTTGTTGTTCAAACTATAGGTAAGCAATTTGCTATAGCTGAGCCAAAGCGTCAATATTGAGGTTGCCAGATTTGTATATAGCAGAGACTGTCATAATAACATTCAGCGCGCGATGTGAATCACGTAGAGAATTGAGTTTTTATGAGCGGGTGGTTTGAATTCACGTATCAAGAATCGTTAAATATCTTTGGAAGGAGTTGAATTCGGTAATTTTCGTTGTGCGCGTCGTATTCTACGTGAAATTTTAGTTACGAATCATGTATCAGAATGCTGAAATTCGTGCCTTGTCTAGTGGTCCATTGGTGGGAAATAATTCTCCAGCCGAAAATCTACCCGCTCTCAGTTTTGGATTTCGACGTCCCATTAAACCATCCCTCTTTCGTTTTTCATTCAAGGAAAAGTCACGGTCTTCTCACGAGGATTCGGGTTTTTTGAGCGCGGCCCCCCCCCCCCCCCCNAATCACCTTCGAACCCGGGAGCTCTGGTGCGGGTCGAAGTGGGGAACGCCGAAAAACTCGTCAGCGGCAGAATACCGGTTATCGCGCGCGGGGCTCTTATCTCGTGGGTCCCTCCCGCCCCCTCCCATCCTCTCGAGCAGGGGGCGCTACCGATGACAAACGGTGCGGCACCGGGTATTGATCGCGATTTCGAATTTGGCGCCAAAGACGCCGCCTCGCGCTATCGCTGTGCGTTACCGCGTCGCTTTTACCACCGATCCCTACGATTCCATGCCAAGAATAAATGCAGTTGCACCTTGAGATGTTGCCAAATTTCGTTTGTTAAAACATGAATTCTCGTAAGAATTCGTGGATTCACCTCTTCCTAATTCTAAGAGAATGGAGATGCTGCTGCGTGTGTGAGGAATTATTCGACTATACATCCTTGTGTAAAAGTTCGCGAGAAATACGATGGTGCCGCTGGTTTTCTCCGAAATCAACTCCCAAGCTCAAAAAAAGCTCTCAAGTCGAGGCCATAATGGAGGGGATATCCCACGCTATCCTGAGAGTTCACGTCTACATGAAGACAAACTCCTATTCAAAGATAGGGGGCAAATACATTGACAGGGCTGCCACTTTATTTGGGGACTCGAAAGCTGAAAACACGGCATCATTGCTAATATATTTGCTTCCTATCTTCGCATGGAGAGTTTATCTTGATGTAGAGGTGGGCTCTCAGGATAGCGTGGGATGTCCGCTCCATTTTGGCCTCAACTTGAGAGCTTTTTTTGAGCTTGGGAGTTGATTTCAGAGAAAACCAGTGGCACCATCGTGGCCACTCCATCCACTCCATCGGCATCGTGGCACCTCCATTTTGACCTCAACTTTAGAGCTTTTTTAAAGTTTGGGAGTTGATTTCAGGGAAAACCAGTGGGACCATCGTGTTTCTCGCGAACTTTTACACCAAAATCTTAAGTCAAATCGCAAATTCCTCACATATGCAACATCTCCATTCGTGTTCTGCATTGCATTGCAAGCTCCTCACGCCGTTTTCCCGGAAAAGTACTCGATCGTTGCC